GGGCGCACACTGAGCGCGGCGCGCCGGGCTACTGCCTCCTGCGCCGCCTTCTCCCCTCCTCTGCCCCTCTGGCCGCCGCTTCGCCTCTCTTCCTTCCTCGCTCCTTCCCTCTCTCCTCCCCTCTCTCCTTCCCCGCTCCTTGCCTCAGGCGGGTGTGCGTGCGCCCAACGGGGGCAGTTGGGTGGCGCAGACTCCCCGGCCGCACACCCGTCTTCCTCCGCCTCCCGGTTCTCTCCCGGCTCCTCCCCCCCCCTCCTCCCTCCTGCCTCCTCGCCTCTCCGCCCCAGCAGGGGGGCTCCAGCAGGGCAGCTTGTGGCCGGCTCCGAAGGGAGGCCAGGCGCTCGTGGCCGGCTCCGAGGGGAGTCCCGGCGTGGCGGCGAGACCCGGGACCCCAACCCCAATGCCCGGGGGTCCCCCTGTGTGACGGGGGTGGGGACCCACTCGGGTGCCCCCGGGCTGCAGGAGGAGGAGGAGGAGGAGGAGGAGGAGGAGGAGGAGGAGGAGGAGGGGCACCGCAAGGGGCACTGCTTGCTGGCCGGCGGCACGGGGGCCGCTGAGCCGCTGGCGAGGCGCGGCCACTGCCGCCGCTCGCTGGGGCGGCGCGACGTCGACGGCGGAGGGCGCGGGGCGCCCGCGCTAGCCTGGGCGGGCCCTGGGCGCGGAGCTGGCGGGGGCGCTGGCCGGCGCGGCGCTGCTGCTGCCGGGCAGCTGGGGGCGGCGCCGGCCGGCGCGGCGGCTTGGAGGCGGCCGGGCTCGGCGGCGCCCGCGCGACGCTGCCGCGGCCGCGGGAGGCGCCGCAGCGGGGGCGGCAGCGAGCTGGCGCGGCTGGCGCGGCCGCCCGGGGGGCGGGGCGCTGCGCTCGCGAGCTACTACCGGTTCCTGCTGGTCCCCCTGGCGCTCCCGGGCAAGCGAGGCATAGGCTCCGGCCGGCGCACCCTCTCCTCCTCGGGGGCGGCTCGCCGCCGAGCGGTGGGCCGCACCTGGGTTGGGGGGGTTGCGCCGGCTCCCGACCACAGAGCGCCAGCCCGCGGGAGACCCGCGCGCGCCGCCGGAGGAGGAGGAGGAGGAGGAGGAGGAGGAGGAGGAGGAGGAGGAGGAAGAGGAGGGAGGGAGGAGGGAGGAGGAGGAGGAGGAGGGGGAGGAGGCGGAGGGAAAAGGAGGGAGGAGGAGGAAGGAAGGGGAGAAAGGAAGATGAGGAATGATGAGGGGCTTTCCAAACAGGAGCTCGCACACGCCGCTGATGAGTGGGCTGCCAGACCATCCACATGGGGCGCGAAGGTGATCGCGCCTCGTGCGTCGCGACCCAGGCCGCGCAGCTGCGGCGAGCTTTCCAAAGAGGGGGAGGAGGGGGTGAGAGGAGGGGGAGGAGGAGGGGGAGGAGGAGGGGGAAGGAAAATAGGGAGGCGGACGGAGCGGGGAAAAGGATACGGGGGAGGAAAGAGGATGAGGAGGACGGTGAATAATGACTTAAGGAAAGCGGCGATGACGATTGCGATGCGGTTGATGACGGCAATGCGAATGAGGATGATGATGGTGATGATGATGATGAGGATGATGCTAATTATTGGAAGGCTAATGATTATGATGATGATGTTGATGATGACAGTACGAAGATGATGTCGAAGATGCCAGTGGTGTCGATGATGACGATGACGGCGCTTGTGATGATGAGGGTGAGGATGATGATGACGATGGTGATTGCCATAACGGTAGCGACGACGGTGATGATGTTGAGACTGGTGTTGTTGATGACGATGATGATACCAATGATGGCGATCATGATGATGATCGTGATGATGTCGGGAATTGCAGCTTCCAAGACTTCAGCGACGACGATGTTGAGGATGATGTTGAGCATGACCAAGATAATGATGATGATGATGATGATGACGGTGTCTGTGATGATGACGATGATGGTGGTGGTGGCGAGGACCACGACGAGGGCGATGAAACCGACGACGAGAATGATGATGATGATGGTGACGATATGATGGTGATGATGATGCTGATGATGATGATGGTGATGGTGGTGGTAATGGTGATGCTGGTGATGATGATGTTGATGATACGATCGCACGGACAATATTTGTTTATTATCCGAGTGGTTTTCCGCCCAACCTGTCACCGTGGTTGGGTTGTTGGTTCGATGCCTCTTGTATGGTTGTCGGGGTGTCCTGGGAAGCTTCTCGGAGGCATGTTGGACGCAATTCGGGGTTTTTCCGGGACAATTGCGGGGCCTGTGGGGCATCTTGGGGTTTATTGGGGTCCCCCTGAGGCCTCTTGGGGGGCCTCAGAGAGGCCTAGTGGGCTTTCTTGGGAGCCTCTTGCGCCGGAAGGCTCGAAGTGTTGGGTCGGGTTCCCTCTCTGGGGCTTCTGTTGGGGCCGTCTTGGGGCCCTCGCGGAGCGCCTTGGGTGCCTCCGAGGTAGTCCTGGAGCCCTCTTGGGCCGTCTTGGGGCCCTCTTGATTAGCCTTGGGGTTCCTTGGGCAGTTTTGGAGCGTTCTTGGGAACCTCTTCGGACGTCTTGGTGCGATCTTGGGGGCCTCTTGGACCGTCTTGGAGCGTCGGAAACCCGAAAAGGCGAGCATGTCAAACTCCGTCAAAAACCATCGGACAACATACGATTTTGGCCCCGGGGCCTCTTAGGGGGCCTTTTGGGCGTTTTTCGGGCCTCTTGGGAACTCTTGGAGACGTCTTGGGCCCGTCTTAGAGGCCTCTTGAAGGCCTCTTGGACCGCATGGCGCCATCTTGGGCCGTCTTGGGTACATCTTGGGCCGTCTTCGAAATATCTTGCAGCAATCTTGGGCTCCCTGGCATCCGGGTTAGCACTTTTCGATGTTTCCCACGACCCGATCCCCCCCCCCGAAAACGCAGCACAGCGCGTCCCCCCCCACCCCCTCACCCCTTACCCCGGCAGAGCCACCCCAGCACCCACCCCCCCAGCGGAGCAGGAGCTCAGGAACTGAAGCTGAGGCTACAAACTCACAAACCGGATCGGCGGATATAAGATCGAGGTCGGTTCGGGGAGGGTACCCTCATGTTCTACGTGCTTGGATGAGCACGAGGATGAGGACGAGGATGAGGACGAGGACGAGGATAAAGACGAGGATGAGGATGAGGATGAGGATGAGGATTAGGATGATGATAATCATGGTGACGATGCTGATGCTGGTGATGACGATGCTGTTGGTGATGATACTGATGATGACGATGCTGATGCTGATGATGATGATGATGATGATGATGATGATGATGATCATCATGATGATGATGCTCAATCATGATCATGCTCCTGATAACAGCGACGACAATTCTGATGCGGCTGATGATGGCGATCGTGCTGCTGCTTTAGAAGTGATGATGATGATGATGATGATGATGATGATGCTGGTTATGATGATGATGCCGATGAGGAGACGGGGGATGAGGAGGAGGAGGAGGAAAGAAATCAGGCGGAAGAGGAGGAGGAGGAGGACGAGGATGATGAGGGCAACGAGGATGATGAGGGCAAGGATGATGAGCATGACGATGAGGAATGGACGAAGACGATGCTGCTGATGATGCGGATGATGATTATGATTATGATGACAATGATGATGATGTCGATGATGATGATGATGATGATGATGATGATGATGATGATGATGATGGTGATGATGATGGTGGTGATAGTGATGGTGATGGTGATGATGATGGTGATAGTGATGATGGTGATGATGTCTATGAAAGTCGGGGCAATGCTGATGATGCTGATGGTGCGTACGATGCTTATGCTGATGATGATGATGATGATGATGGCCGTTGTGGTGGTTGTGATGATTATGATGATCCTGATCCTTATCATGACAATGATGATGACGACGACAACGGTGATGATGCTTATAATTGAGATGCTGATGCTGATGATGATGTTGATGGTGGTGGTGATGATGATGATAATGGTGGAGGTGGTGATGATGGCGCTGCTGCTTCTGATGCTGACGAGGATGCCGATGGTGGTGATGATGAGGAGCATGAGAAAGATGAGACTGACAACGAGAATGACGAGGATGATGATGACGATCAGGCTGGTTTTGAGGATGATGATGGTGAGGATGATGAGGATTTTTATGATGATGATGATGGGGAGTAGAAAGGAATATCAGTCCACGAGGACGACGACGACGACGACCGTGATATCGACCACGACCGCGACGACGACGATGGTGATGATAATGATGATGATGATGATGATGAGGATGAGGATGATGGTGATGATGCTGATGATGAGATGGAGGACGATTAGGACGATCAAGATGTGGATGAGGATAAGGATGATAGTGAATATGTCGATGATGATATTGTTGACGGGAAAATGATGGTGATGCTGATGCTGATAATGATGCGGACGAGGACGAAAACGACGATGATGTTGATGCCGATGACGCTGATGATGATCATGCTGATGATGCTGATGGTGATGATGATAGCGGTGGTGGTGAGGATGATGATGTTGTTGTTGATGATGATGATAGTGGTGATGATGATGCTGGTGCTGATGTTGGTGATTATGATGAAGATGGCGATGATGATGATGATGATGCTGATGATGATGATGCTGATGACGATGATGTCGATGGTGATGTGGACGATGCTGCTGATGATGATGTTGCTGCTGCTGATGATAATGATGATGCTGTTGATGATGATGATGATGATGATGATGATGATGATGATGATGATGGTGATGTTGGTGATGATGATGATGATGATGATGATGATGATGATGATGATGATGATGATGATGATGATGATGATGATGATGATGATGATGATGATGATAGTGGTGATCATGATGCTGATAGCGGTGGCGGTGGTGATGATGACGATGGTGATGGTGATGATGAGGAGGAGGAAGAAGATGAGGAGCTGCTCTTTTGCCTCTCTCGCCTACTCTGCCCTCTGCCCCTCCTGGCTCCCTCGCCCCAAAGCCTCCCACCTCTGCTCGCCCCTGGCGGGGAGGTCACAGACATCACGCCGCCCCCCCTGGCGCTGCTCAGCACCTTCTCGGCCGCCCTGGGCCTGCTGCTGGTGTTTCGCACCAACGCCGGCTACGAGCGGTGGTCGGCCGGGTACAAGTCGGCGCGCGAGCTCAGGCTGGAGGGTGGGTCGGGCAGGGCAAGGACTCCTCGAAATCAAACGCAAGTTTTTTATGTTGATCCACGCGCGAAACGTGGCCCACGGGGTCAGACTTTTGTGATTGCAGTCGCTCTTTTCGGCGCGAACGCTGAAATTTTGGGGTCCCAGGGCGCCGCCACGTTGCGGGAAGACCTTGCGCTTGATTTCGAGGAGGGATGTAGGATCCGCGGATGACTTGTGTGCACTGTATCTCGTTGGCGTCTCCCGAGGCGGTTGTCGATCCTCGACCCCAGACATGGTACGGTGCATAGTTTTCACGCCCTCGGAGCCGAAGAACTATGCATCGCCGTGTCGCGATGGAGCGGAGCCTGAAGGAAGTCCAAACATAGTACGGCGCATGGGCGCCGCTCTCGTGACCAGGATATAATTCGTTCCAGAGTGTTCCTGAACGCTCTCGGATCGTTCTGGAGCGCTTTGGAACGGCCAGGGTGCCCGCTACATCCCCCAGAGCCGCTGGATCTCAGAGATCCCCGAACAGTACCAGTCCGACTTTATCCCGGTCCTCGTTCGTCTTACTGGGAGAGGAGGGTCAGGGGCAACCTTGGGGGGGACATGCATCGACCCCCAATCGCCCACTGATCGATGATGGGGGCCCGATAGCCCACCCCTCCCAGGAGCGTGTGGATTCGCCATCGGGGGCCCATCGCCTATCCGTCGGCGATATATCGCCGATTCCAGGTTGTTGAGTCTCCTTCTGAGCCAGTCCCCTCTATCGTATCTCGTCAGAGGAGGCGCGGATGGGGGGACAGGACGAGGAGAGGTTACAGTCAAAGCCATGGAGGGCCATGCAGGACTCGGAGGGGGCTCGGGGCTCCTTGGGTCCTTCTGATCTGCTGCTCCTTTCGTGAGGCGCAGCTTGGATTCAGCAAGGGCCTTGCCTGCCAGGGGCTCGGTCGAAAGGGGAGATTGGGGAAGGGGTGGGACGAAGTCTGCGAGAGAGCGTGATCCACCGCCGCTTTACTGTGGAAAATTGCCAACCTTTTCCTCTGGAGCCCGGGGTCTCCCCCCCCCCCTCCGAAAATCCCCCCCCCTCTGCTGAAACCCCCCCCCCCACTCCCTCCCTCCCGGCAAAACCCCCCCCTCCCCTAACCCCTCCCCCCCCCCCCTCCCCCGAAAACCGGGGGGGGTCACTACCGGTTCGAACCCCTCCCCCCCCCCCCCCCTCTCCGGATCCGGAAAACCGGGGGGGGGTCACTACCGGTTGGAACCCCCCCCCCCCCCCTCGAAAACCGGAGGGGGGTCACTACCGGTTCGACCCCCCCCCCCCCCACGCACCGCCAGCAAACGACTCCCGGTCCCTACCACCGCTCGCATCACATCCCCCACTGCTGTTCCCAGCACCACTGTCCTCACCACCACTGTCCCCACTGGTTCCACCACCGTCCCTATTGTCCCCACCAGTGCCCCCACCACTGTCGCACTGTCCCCACTGTTCCCACAACTGTTCCCACCACGGTTCCACTCTCCCCACTGTCTCCACGGACCCAACCACTGCCTATCCCCACTGTCCCCACTGTCCCACTGACTCCTCCGCTGTCCCACTGAGCTGTCCCACTGTTCCCACCACTGTCCCCACTGTCCCCACCACTGTCCCCACTGTACCTCTGTCCCATTGTCCCACCGCCGTCCTCGCCACCGCCTTTACCAGTGTCCCCACCACCATTGTACCCTCCACTGTCCCAGTGTTTCCACCTCATTCCCACTGTCCCCACACCACTGTCCCCACCACCACCGTTCCCACCACTGTCCACTGTCCCCCCTGTTCCCACCATTGTCCCCACCACTGTCCCCACCACTACCGTCCCCACCACTGTCCCACTGTCCCACCACTGTCCCGCTGTCCCCTCACCACTGTCCCCGCCAACACCGTCCCCACCACTGTCCGCACCCCCACTCGGTTTTCGAGGGGGGGGGGGGTTCGAACCGGTAGTGACCCCCCCCCCTTTTCATGATGAGCTGGGGGGGGGGGAAGGGGTTCGAACTGGCAGTGCCCCCCCCCGGTTTTCCGGAGGGGGGGGGGGGAGGGGTTCGAACCGGTAGCGACCCCCCCCGGTTTTCCGCCAGCAGCGGTAGAACACGCTCTTTCAAATCTGCTGTATGCAGCTGGTCTCGGCCCCGCCGCCGGGCGCGTTCCTCGACACATTGGCTCCTCCCGGCGCCGGGAGGCGCCAGAGAAGTCAGCTGCGTGAGCTGACTGGCTAGTCTATCCCTCCCCCTTTATCCGAGCCGAGGGGAGTGAGTAAGTCACTCGGCGAGCGGCCCGTCTCTCGTCTGCTGTCTCACGCTTTGTTGGGCGGCGTGCCAGGGCGGAAGAAAGCTGCATACACATAAACTTATGGCGCTCCCCGCGGATTTCTTGGATCCGCGCTGGGCCCCCACCCTGGCGCGCGGCGGAAGAAATCCTGGTAGCGGTGTGGTGCGCCGCCCCATACTATCGTTGCCGCTGAACGTGCTGTGGTCCTCTCCATGATGGCCCGCCTCTGTGGTGCCGAGTGGCACCCGTGCGAAATCTTCCAACACGTGCAGAGGAGGGCTCCCGAGCTTACCCACGTTTGCTTCGTCGTTGGTCTCATTGTCCTCGCGCAGCTCATGGTCGCATCGTGGTAGGCCTTGTCTGCGTCCATGGCGGCTTTGATCGGCGGGCAGTGCGGGGAGGTGGAGTAGTTAGTAACATCTGATCAACTATAATAGAGGACACTGATGATGAGGATGAGGAGAACAAGCGTGATGATGCTGATGACGATGATGGTGATGATGCTGATGCTGATGCTGCTGCGCTGCTGATGCTAATGCTGCTGATGATGATGATGATAGTGATGATGCTGTTGTTGATGCTGATGATGAGGCTGCTGATGTTGATTCTGATGAATGGTGAATGATGATGATGATGATGATGATGAGGATGAGGATGAGGATGAGGATGTCGATGACAATGGTGATGACGATGATGCTGCTGCTGCTTCTGCCGATGATGATACTGATGATGCTCATGATGACGCTGATGCTGATGCTGATGATGATGCTGCAACTGATGATGATGGTGAAGATGGTGGTTGTGGTGTTGATGATGATGCTGCTGCTGTTGATACTGTTGCTGATGATATTGCTGATGATAACGACGACGATAATGTTGCTGATGCTGACGATGATGCTGCTGATGATGATGGTGATGATACTGCTGATGGTGATGATGATCATGGTGATGGTAGCGCCGATGAGGATGGTGATGATGGTAATGACGATGATGCTGATGATGGTGATGATGATAGGACGACGATGATGCTGATGCTGATGATGATGCTGCTGAGGATGATGGTAATACTGATGATGCTGGTGGGGATGACGAAACCAATGATGCTGATGATGACGATGACGATGACGATGATGATGATACTGATGAGGATGAGGATGCTGATGATGATGATGATGATGATGAAGATGCCGATGCTGTTGATGATGATGACGACCTGATGTAGACTATGGTGATGATGATGTTGCTGATGATGATGCTGATGATGATGGTGATGCTGATGATGATGGTGATGCTGATGACGATTACGATGATGTTGATAATATTGATGATGATGATGATGATGATGATGCTGATGATGATGATGATGATGATGATGCGGATTATGATGTTGAGGGTGATGTTGTTACTGTTGATGCTGCTGATGTCGAGCATGATGATCGAAGAGGAGGACGGGGAGGAGGAGGAGGAGGAGGAATGAGGAGAGACATGACGAGAACTAAAAACAGGAGGGGAGGGAATACATCCATTATCGGGTACCCTCTACTCGGATTGCGTAGTTGTAGCACAAGACACGTGTGTGGCAGTCGCATTGGCGAAATCACTGAGGCCGTTCCCAGTGGAAGTGCGCATGGGAAAACACTGTGGGGGGGGGAGAGAGCGGATTCACACTGGCACGTCCTCGGGGGACCCTTGAGCAGTTACAGAATGATGAAAGGAGCGGAGACTGGATGTGTTTGAGGGGGAGAGGGGGGGGGGAGGAGGAGGAGGAGGAGGAGGAGGACGAGGAGGAGGAGGAGGAGGCGGAGGAGGAGGAGGAGGAGGAGGAGGAGGCTGGAGGAGGAAGGGGATACAACTGATGCATCATGAGGAGGGGCGAGGAGGTATGGGGGAAAAGGTGGGCGGGATGCAGAGTGGAAGGGGGAAGAAGGGAAGAGGAAGAGGAGGATGAGGAGGACAGAGGAGGGGGGATCTTGGCCGGACGAAGATGAGGAGACGAAGGAAGATGATGAGGAGAATAATGGCAATGATGCAAGTGCTGATGCGGAGGAGCAGGACGGAGGACGGATGATACACGATCCCAGCGAAACACCCTAACAGAAGAATGCCGAGAGGGGCCCGAGAGGGTCTCGAGAGGAGAGGAGAATGGTGGCCCCCCTCCAGGATCCCTGTACCCCCTCCGCGGCCAGGCACAACATGTCGCAAGTGCGGCGCATGGGGGCGCTGTGGATGGGGATGGAGGACACCTCCCCGTGGCCCGCAAGCGGTAACTGGCCTCCCTTTCGCCTTTACTTATCCTCCTCCTCCTCCTCCTTTCGGCCGTTTTGGCTCAGGCAGTTGTGGCCTGAGCTTGCTGCCGCCGGTTCCTCAGAGCGGCAGCGAGCATCGGCACAGGGCCAAGCCAGCACGCCCCCCACCTCTTTCACGGCTCTTTGGTTTGTGCGGCTGCGTGCTTTTTGCACAATGGCTAAGCAGAGGCAGCAGCAGCAGCAGGACGGGGGTGATCCGAGGTCGTGGAGTTGCCGATGTTGTTTCCATGCCGCGGCTTGGATAATTTCTCACTAAGCCGACGCATGACGGTTGCTTGAGGTGCCGGCGCAGCAAAGGCGCATGGTGTTACAGCCATCCTCCGCTTGCCGAGCCTTCTACGCACGCGACGGCTGGACGCGGCACGAAGTCTGGTGGTGAGATCAAGCCTTGGGACCTTGCGGCTCAAGTCGAGGAAGCTCAGATGCACATCGAGAACTTGCAAGATGCTGCAGCGGGCAAGACGAGCCGCTCCAAGAGCATTCACATATCGCTGGGCGTGAAAGAAGGAATATGATGAGGACAAGGATTCTTGAGTCGGGCAAGCAGCTTGAGCTGGCAGGCAAGGCCAGGGGGGTGCAATGGACACGCCCTGCGGGGGCCCCTCAAAGCAGAGAAGGAGGCCATCCACGCAAAACCGAATAAACATAATCCTGCATCCGCTCAGATGTTCACGGTCAATCGGCTGATGGCAACGGGATCTCAACGCATCGAGAACCTCAAGAGTTCCATCGAGCAGCGGCGTACGCACATGTCGGAGCTGCAGCAAAAGTTGGATGCGTCGGTCATGGACCTCGCGGGCAAAGAACAGAAAAACGAGTTGGCCAAGGCAGCCATTCGCCCGCTTCAACAGGAGCGCGCGCAAGATGGCGCAGGCACCATCGGAGCGCTGGGCCTCGATTGCGTGCGATTGGGCGCCATGCTCAAGCGGCTTGGCGCCAAGGAACTGCCGTCGATCATCGCCGGCGCGCAGATCCAGGTGCTCGGCGCGCAGCGGGTGGCAGACGCGGCAGCGGATGAGCAGCGCCAGCAGCGCGCGCGGCACGTCGCGGAGCCTCGCGCGCCAGCTCAGGCGGTGCAACCCAGTGCATCATCAGTCCCAGTGCGCGATGCCAATACCGGGGAGTTGCGCGAACAGCCGGCGCAGGTTGACATTGGGCTTGAAGTTGAAGCCTGGCGATGATAACGCGCGCCAAGCTGCGCGTCGACTGCATTCGTGGCGCGCAGGATCCACGAGTGCATTTGTCCACGTTTCGCGCGTGCAAAGTCAGATCCTTCATTTAATCATCAACCTCGCCCTTTCCTTGGCGCGATCAAACGGTGAACTCCCATTCCCTCCGCTTCTGCTCCTCGGTGCGCCGCTCGCGCTCCCCGCAGGCTCCTATCCGTCGCCCCCCTTCTCTATCCTTGGCCGCCCCCTGCTCCGATTGTCCGTCGCCCGCTTGGCCCCGGAGGTGGCCCTCGAGCATTCGGCGTCGGACCTCCCCCCCTCTCTTCTTCGCCCCCCCCCCCCCCCGCGCGACTGCCCAGGCCGCTGCGCCCCCCGCAGAAAATTCGCGAGAACCCGGGCCCCCCGCGAAAGGTTCGCGCGAATCCTTCGCGCCGCGCGCAGTCCTCTGAGGCGCCCCCCGGGCCGCCTCGCTCCCGCGGGACCCCCCTGGGCGATTCGCGAGGGCCGTTCCCGCGCGAGACCGCCCCGGGCGACTAGCGCGGGAACTGGGCGGCGGAGACCCCCCGGGCGATTCCGCCGCTCGGACCGACCCCCCCCGGGCGAGTCGGCCCGCCCTGGAACCCCCCGGGCGATCCAGGACCCCCCGCGCCCTCCCGGGCGAGCGGGGGCGCCTGCGGGAAAAGCCCCCGCCTAATTTGGCCCCCCTTTTCAGCGAACTTTAGCGGGGGCGATCCGCGCCGGGGCGGCAGTCGAACCCCCCCGGGCGATCGACCGCGGCAGATTCCCAACACATATACACACAAAAAATACACCAAAACACGCACACACATAAACCAACGCGCAAAGAAACACATCAACAACACAAACAAGCACCAGACGGCACCTTATGTATACATATATATATATATATATATATATATAACGCACACACGCACGCAATAATGACTAAACTACGGCTCTTACTTTGCACGCCTAACGTAGGGCGGCGGCCAGAGAATATCGCAAGATGATCATGAGTGCTGCGGTTAGGATGGCGCGTTCTACTCAGTTGTGCATTGGTTGCAGTATCCCTCGGCGCGATGAAGGGGGTTTGGCGGCGCGCGAAGCGCGCGGGCGCCTATCGGGCGTTGGCGGCGCGGATGTTGGCTGGGCGGCAGGAGGGTTGACATCGGGTCTCCAAGCTGACCGCCCGTCCGACCCGCCAGTGTGGACCGCGCGCGCCGCGCCCCACCCAATGCGGCGAGGCGCGCGGCATCGGCGCGCGCTGGTCGGGATCGGGGCGAGGGAGGTGGCGGCAGCTTCAGGGCTGAAGGGCAGGTGACTGCGATCTACGTAGACAATGCTGGGCCGCCCTGGAAGTGCATGGGGGACTTCCGCTCTGTAACTGTTCTGGTTCAAGATCATGAGGCAGATGATGCTTCGCCCCCTGGCCTGCAGCGTGCGCTGCAGTATCTGGGCTGCCGCGGCATCTGCGCCCCCGCCATGCGAACTGCGCGGCGCGCCTCGCCCCGGCGCGGTCGCGCTGGCGCCTGCGCGCGCCGCCGCGACGCAGCCGCCGCTGCTTGCAGGCCCTGTGCTATCTGATGGGCTTCTTGCAGCAGCTAAGATATCGCGGGGCATTGCGGGCGGCATTGTGGCCGTATCAGCGTATTCCAAGGATGTTGCTGGTTAAGGTAATTTTGTTCGGGGCATATTGCAAGCCCTGGCGCGCTGCATGGGTCGTCTCAATGGTTTGGGAATCCGCCGGATTGTCGGGGGCGACTGGAACGTGGCGGCGGATGCCTCTGATGGGCAGGCATGGCTGGAGAAATTGCGGGCTGCGTTCGCAGTGCCCACAGAGACCGCGCGCCGCGTCGCGAGGCCTACGGATGGATGGGTTTTTGCGCGCCAGCCCACCTGCCTGCGTTCCGAGAGCACAGAGAACATTGAATGCCCATTCTTATTGAGCCCAAGCAGGTGCTGAATGGGGCCAAACGTAGGACGGTCGCGACCTCGAGCGCCATTGCGCGACGTGCCGGAGATGGCACGTGGCGGCGCGGAGGAGCAAGGGCCGCGACATGCGTGGGGCGCGGGCGCTGCTGGGTCGGAGGTTGACGCGCGGCGCGACGCCGCGTGTTCGGAGGCTCAACTGTACCAAGGACGTGGAGGAGCGGCTATAACCAAGATGGTCGAGGCCAAATGTCGAGCATGTCGCGTTGCCGCATCGGCTTCTCGCGCGAGCTTGGATCACGGCGGCGAGGTGGGCCGAACACACTGCAGGTGCAGACGCATTGGGTCAAGTTGACCAGCCAGTAGCTGGCTCAACATGGACTTGCGAAGTCTGCGCAATTTTCACGCTGAAGTTGCGCCTTTGCTTGGCGAGCAGTCGGCCAATCTGTTTTCGAGTATCTGGAAGTGCTTCGAGACTGCACTGTTTCCCGCTCCGAAGCGCAAGCTATGCAGTTTCCGTTACGATTGATTCGGATGTTTCTCGAGATGCATGTGCTGCCTAGGGTCGCCGCAGCACGCGGCGGCTGGGGCATGCCTGCGGTTTCCAGACAAGGCATTCTCGCTGGCTACACGCGCGCCACAGCACTTCCTACCACCTGGCGCATCGTGCGGTTCATCGCGCGCGTGCGCAGCATAGCAGTGCCACACCACGTGCGCTTGTTGATGGCAGTGCGTTTCAATGGATCGGCTCTGACCTGCGGGAGGCAGGGGGGCGACATCGCGCAGTGTGTGATTTTGCGCTGGGCAGCATCAGGCGGGATATGACACAGCTGCCAGGTGCGCGCGGTGTTCGGCAGACACGGCCGCGTTCAGCCACGGGTTCTTTGATTGCCCCAGCTTCGACCAGGACGCCCCTGATGAGGACCTCCAGCGGGGCCCCAATATGGACCGCACTTACAAGTTTTTGAAATGGGCGCGGTCTCAAATCGAGCCCTTCAGACTGGGCCTGGATCAACGCGTCCGCGCGCGCCTATGTGCCCAACATTCCTCCCGCGTGTTCCTCTCGGGGCCTCCGTTGCTCTCTGGGGTGATGTTGGGATCTGACCGGATGAGATGGACTACGGCGGCCTTCGCGGATGGTTCTGGAATGGCGCCGTCGTTGCCGGAAATTTGGGGCGCGGGCGCGGCGTCTGCCAGTTGGGCGACAGCGGGCCCCCTGATCGCGCTGCGCGCGGCCCGCTGTCGGGGCCGCGCAGACAGCGGGCCGCGCAGAGCACGCGGCGCCCCTGTTTGCCATCGAGCCCCTGCCTGCAGTTTCGCTTTCGGCGACTGGCTTCGCGAGTCCGGTGCAGGAGGGTGCGCGGCGGCTTGCTTCGCGAGCGGATGCCCATTCACCGTGTGCCGGCCTTTGGCGGGCTGTATTCAACCTGGTGCAAGGGCGACAGCCGCCCGACTTCTACGGGTGTCCTGCCCGCAAAACGGCGGCCGAGTTCTTGGAAATGGACCGTCATCAGTGGGAGTACTTTTGGGGCAATGAGAGGATCGATTTCTTTGCGAATGCTGGTGCTCCGTCTCGCGCAGTTGCCGACGCCATGGCGATGTCGTATGGGATTATGCTCCAGGACGCCAGCGTGGACGCAGTTCATATCATAGCGCGCGCATGGTGGCTCATCATGCTGCGTTGAGTGGCTGGCCCTCGCGATTAGTCATATTCAGGCCCACGTGGCCCCTGTGGGATCCAGCGCGCTTTGCGTGGCGGCGAGGGGTTCCTGTTCCAATGTAAGGATTGCTTTGCCATCGCCCGGGCCCCGGCAAGCCCGGGCGGGCCGCTGCT